ACACTGGACTTTGTCTAGCTGTCAAACATGGTAAGCCATAGACTTGTGGCTGCTTAAAACTTTAAGAGTGGCACTGGCCTCCTTTCGCATAGAAAGCAATGCGAGTCTCTGCTGGCAGCAATCCTGCAAGCATGAACTCTGGCCCTGTCCCACCCCCTCGCGGCTGTAAACCGCGTGGCTGTAAACCGGCGGTTGCAGTTCTGTAAAGGGACGGGCAAGCAGTCCCAATACTAACTTTCCCCTACCTAATTCACAGCAGGGAGTCATGCCAGACATCACCCTCCTGAAGGTCTCGGAGAGCCAGAAGGAGCGGATGCTTCGTGACAGCCTGCAGAAACCGGGGCCATTTGCTGCAATGCTCTGCAAGGCCATGATCCCCGAGTACCTGCTGGCGTTGTGGCAGGGAAACGTCTCATACCACGGGGGGCCTAATAAGCTCTCCCTGCCCAGGAACCTGCTCATGAGGCTTGAAAAACACCTGCAGGAGGCCTATGAGGAGTTCTCCCCGGAGGATGTCGCCTCTATCTCCGGATACATTGACCAGTTTTTGGGTTAGGTGCCCTTGGAGGGACAAAAGAGTGCAGTGTTTTGGGCAGTATAATCATGAAGCGGACATTGTGAAATTTTTTGAAAATAGACTATATATTGAAGCGCCCAAAGATAGACTAATCATGATACACTTTGCACAGATTCCCGTTTTGTTGGACTTTCCTGTTTACATGTTTTGAAGCACTTTACCCACTGTTAATATTTTAAATCTTCCTGTTTTGTTGTAAATAAATGTTTACATGTTTTAAAGCACTTTACCTATTGTTAATATTTTAAATATGCCAGTTATGTTATAAATAAATGTTTAGATATTTAAAACACTTACTGCTTGATCCTTCCCCTGAATCTGTGTCTGGGATAACGGCTGGGGAGGGTTGGTAGGGGATCTCTGTGAGGGTGAAGAGCAGCTCCTGGCTGTCGGGCAAATCAGCGTTGTAAGCGCTGTCGACTGCCTCGTCCTCCTCATCTCCTTCCTCCTCTTCCCCGTCCGCTGAGGAACCGGCCACAGACAATATCCCATCCTCAGAGTCCACGGTCAGGGGTGGGGTAGTGGTGGCGGCCGCACCTAGGATGGAATGCAGTGCCTCGTAGAAACGGGATGTGTGGGGCTGGGATCCGGAGCGTCCGTTTGCCTCTTTGGTCTTCTGGTAGCCTTGTCTCAGCTCCTTGATTTTCACGCGGCACTGCGTTGCATCCCGGCTGTATCCTCTCTCTGCCATGGCTTTAGAGATCTTCTCATAGGTCTTTGCATTCCGTCTTTTGGAGCGCAGCTCGGAAAGCACGGACTCATCTCCCCACACAGCGATGAGATCCAAGACTTCCCGATCAGTCCATGCTGGGGCCCTCTTTCTAGTCTGAGATTGCACGGCCATCTCTGCTGGAGAGCTCTGCATCGTTGCCACTGCTGCTGAGCTCGCCACGGTGTCAACACAGAAACTGCGATTCAAACTGCCCAGACAGGAAAAGGAATTCAAATTTTCCCGGGGTGTGGCTGGTCAGAGCATCCGAGCTCGGACTGCTGTCCAGAGCGTCAACAGAGTGGTGCACTGTGGGATAGCTCCCGGAGCTATTAGCGTCGAATTCCATCCACACCTAGCCTAATTCGACATGGCCATGTTGAATTTAGCGCTACTCCTCTCGTTGGGGAGGATTACAGAAATCGATTTAAAGAGAGCTCTATGTCGAACTAAATAGCTTCGTGGTGTGGACGGGTGCAGGGTTAATTCGATATAACGGCGCTAAATTCGACATAAAAGCCTACTGTAGACCAGGCCTAAGGTGCCACAAGTACTCCTGTTCTATAAGCTACCTAAATATACAAACTAAATTAATTAATCAACTATTCTAAAGAATGAAAAGATGGGTCAGAGAGTCTGTCTTAGACCTGGAAAGCTAGTGTGTGTGCTAAAAATTAGCTTTGGGATATGTGTAAAGCACACCATGTCCCTGCTACATTCCAGGCTTCTGAATGCTCTGCAATGGCCATGGTTCTGCAATTCCTGTACTTTCTCCATAGGAATGGATGGCCAGTGGATCCACAGTTGCATGTCATCCTACCTGGCTCTGAAACTATTCCTGTGAGAAAGTGTAACTGTGCCCTCCAGACAGCACTGCTTCACACACGAGATGCAGACAACCTATGTAACCTCTTAAAATCCTGCCCTATTCCTTTCCACAGCAACCACATTAGTTCCATGTATCTCAGGAACAGGATATGCCCCTTAATGCAGCAGAGAGATGTTTTCCAAAGCCTGGAGGTGACCTATTTTATTCACAGTGTCATATGTGTCTGTTCCTCCCTTTAAACTAATGCTTGTTGTGATATTGGTCCAGCCCTGGGTGAAAGAGCAAGACTGGATTTCTTACAACAGACCCTGCCAATCACTGTCGGTCTGACAACGCAGTGTCTTTCGACTCCAGTTCCTCCCCCAATACACTTTCCCTTGCTTTTCTTCAAATTGAAAGAAGTTTCTCAATGGATTAGCCAATAGTAGTCACCTGCTAATTACAACTGCTATAAATACCATGAAATTGAGGATATTATTGTCCTGGCCAAGTTCCAATTCAGGTAACTGTATTCCAACTACATAAATTCCTTATGTGGTTTCAAGAAGATAAGGCATCCTTCACGTCCTGTCCTAAACTGCTATGTAAGTATTGCTGTGCACGGTTAGTTACCACCCTTTACCTCAGCAGTGTATTTCAGTGAATTGATCCAGTTTGTAAATCACTTTATGATAAACTATAAGATAGGTCTTGAAGGTCTGATATTCCTTGATCTGGAGATCAGAGAGCATAACAATTATCCATAGATCTTAGAGCCGATAGTATCTCTAGTTCAACCACTTGCATACATTTTGGGAGTCCTCTATTCCAGGGGTTCTCAAACTGGGGGTCGGGACCCCTCAGGGGGTCGCAAGGTTATTCCATGGGGGGTCGCGAGCTGTCAATCTCCACCCCAAACCTCGCTTTGCCTTCAGCATTTATAATGGTGTTAAATATATAAAAAAGTATTTTTAATTTATAAGGGGGGGGGTCGCACTCAGAGACTTGCTATGTGAAAGGGGTCACCAGTAAAAAAGTTTGAGAGCCCCTGCTCTATTCTATTTCCCTAGTAGTAAACACAAAAGTTCGATTAAAGTCAAATCCATATCATTGCCTAGAAAAAAGCATTATTCTTACCTGCTGGAAATAAGAATGATTTTTGCCCTCTCCATTATAATAGTTTACTTTAAAATCTCATGGCATTTTACAGCATTTTCTGTGAAATTCTCTATTAGTCCATCACTAAAACATTTTGGAAAACTGGTTGCAATACTTTGGTAAACATTTTTAAAAACTCTTCAGTCATAACAATTTTAATATCTGCTGACCCGTACATGTGTGACATTAAATACTTTGATTTTCACTACCTGTGATGCTACAGGTAAGGGACTGTCAACATTTCTATTAAAAATGTATACTTTCACAAGTATAATACTTAGATGAGGAGTCACTCCACATTAATACTTGTCATAAAAGATCTTATGAAAAAAAAAATGATTTTTAAGCCTTTGGGGGGGTTGGGTGGGGAAGGGAACAGTATGAGTGGAACAAATAGGTATATGTAAATAATTTAACAAGAGATTTGTCCATAACATGGTCTAATTGCTTTTGGTATTTTTAGGTAAAAAAGTATAATATATGTTTTTATTTAATCTATTACACAATAACTATTCCCCATGACTTTCTTGTTTACTATAATTAGCATGTTTCCTAATTATGTAATTCTAACACTAGACTGAATAGCTACAGAAGACTCATTTAGTCTATTGGTTCAGACACACCGGAAACAAAAAAAATCTCTAAGCAAGCCATTATATACAAATGTACTGAAATAGCCTTGGAGGAGTTCTTATGAGTTAACACCGATTTAAAAAAACCTTTGTAATATGGTACATTACAGTATATACATTATATACCATAATGGATCCAAAAACAAGCTGTAAAAGATAACAATAATTTAAAACATTTATTTGTTAAGGTTTAAAAAAAAATAAAAAAAATCACAATTTAAAAAAAATCTCCAAAGGAAACAAACCATAAAAGCTACTTTAAGGTAATACTAAGAAGTTGATTTATACCAATAGGGATAAAGGAATGAATGTTATCCAAGCAAGCACTCCATCTTTAACACCAATGCTGTTGTGCCGGGTAATTGCTGGAATCTATGGTGTGTGTTCATGTAGAGTTATTAGATGGCTTATAATACTAGTGACCACCTTAGTTAAGGTTGGAATGTATAGCCCCAACTGAATTTCTCTCTTTTACAGATTTAGGTCATAACCTTGACCTTATAAGAACTTTATATAGTTAAGCAACAGAATTCAGATTTCTGTTTATTAAAATCAGCCTTCCATAAATATAAAAATCTTGGATATGTGTGAAAATGTCTTTCAATCACAGTCTTCACAGCTTTAATAAGGAACCCCTAATCAAAACCATTATATTCAATTTGATCTCTATAGACAAACAGTTAAAAACATATTTACTAACATTAAATATAATCAATTTGCAAAAACAGATACAGTCTGACAAATATTGTCATGTGCTCTTGCAAAGAGTGCATAGGATATATTTCTGCAGCAATCAAGACAGTAAAATCATCTAATATAACCTCAAGTTCAAGCTGTAAACATTCCTAATTGTAGTTACTTGGAAACTTTTGTTCCTTTCAAGTTTTTATTAGCAACTTGCACTAGGCTTTCCCCTTTAATTTTTTCATCAGCTTTACATACATTATTTTCTGTCTTTAACCCTTTGGTTCTCCAAAACCATTAACATGTTCTTGCTCAGATTCAGTGTAGTGATCCTTTCCTTCCAGTGCATGATGAAATCTTCCATGCAGAATTCTTGTTGAGGTCCCTAATGCACAGTCTTGAGAAACAGGCTGATAACGAAATCTGCTATGCCTTGATAGGATTTCCTGCAGGTTTTGGATCATAACCATATAGGAATGTAGCTGCTATCACAAGAATGGCTCCAAAGAAAAAGACACTGAATGGAACAGGGAGGGGGGGAAAAAGTAACCCTTTTCAGTCAGTACAATTGTATTTATATTATCTGGTCAGAAGAAATGACATTCATTCTCTACATTATTTCTAGTGGGGGAAAATATGTTCCTTCAATTTGTAATGAACTGGCAACTTACTCATCTATTATTCTTAAACTATGAGAATAGGGAGAGATGGAAAGGAACTAAGAAGCCTGAACCTATCAACAGTGAAGTAAAAAACATGATATTTCACTGAAGTACGCCAAAGATTAAACAGTATTGTCTTTTCATGAAGCAATTGCCAAAGGATAATCAGTCTAGCTGCATATTCTTAGTCCCTTTTGTCTCCCCATCTACAATACATAAGCATGCAAAACTAACCACAGTAGTTATATTTGTTTGCTGTCCAACCATGTTTTAACATAGTTTTGCCAGTCCTATGTGCAATGTGTCAAACAGTGTTAAAGTTTTTCTGTATTAGAGACCTAAGCTAGGATATGTTTATTTTAAACCCTGTTATGGGAGACAATGTGCCGAATCGTATCAGAACACAGATGAGCAGCAACCAGATTGTTTTTGTTACATTTAAACTGGTTCTTGGGTAGACAGGGTTTAATTGTTGTAATATGGGGTTTATGTAAACATACACACTATATATTTTATATTACATATGCATACATACAGACATCTTTTTTATGAAGTACTGGTACTCAAATACTATAGGGAGACTTTACAATTTTCTAGATAGAGAAATGTTTGAAATGCAGTATCTAAGCTCAAAGATAGTATATAAATATTTAAAAAACATTACCTTGGAGATGTGTAAAATTTTGATAATTTGAGTTTTCTGAACATATTATGTAGTATTTTGGAAGTGCACTTCAAATTAGAGTGGTGCACTACATTATAGTCCAGCTAATAATTTATTTAGCCTGCTGATAGGCATACACAATTATGTACTTTACATAATTATCCCACTTAGAAATGTTCACAGAAAATGGAGAAACCACCTAAAAATTTCTCTTCAGAGATATATAGTATTTGGCACCCAACCAGCAACATAATAAAGACAAACACTGGCTTACAACTGAAGTTTTGAATCCTGCTTATGGGCTGAATTGCATTTAATTATTTACTCAAGTTTCCATTATAAACCACATTTGTCAGGATCTGATAAGTTAACTATTAAAATGTATTTCTGGCTGAAACTTAACATATCAGTCCTCTGACTACATTTTAAATTTGTTTTTATTTGGTAAAATAAGTGTCAGCTTCTTATAAATTGATAGCAAAACTCTAAAATGTGCAAGAGTTTGGTTTGGTTTGTTTGTTTTTTGTGGCCTTATAATTGCCTTATTTCATTTTTAGACATTTTGGAAAATATTAACAACAGAATGCAACTTACCTTTTTAAACATTACAAATAATTCTAGTTTGCTTTGGAAAGAAACTTCTGCGCATCGCAAACAACTACTTTTCAAAACTATTTTCCACTCAGAATCTTTAGTCCATTCTGAATAATGTAGATCCATTACAAATATGTGCAAAGTCCCATTAATTTAACTGAAATTTGGCGGCATATTGCCACAATGATGTGTTGCAGTATTAATAGCCATTATAGCACAATTTATCAATGTACAAGAAGGGCAGTATACAAGACCTTACAAAATCTGAAGAATCATAAGGTCAAATTGCATTGTATTAAGTCTGGAGGGTCTTGGAATTTGTGTCTTTTTTAAAATAAAATTCTGCATTAAAACACACGATATTGTTTTTGAAAAAAAAAATCAACAAACAAAAAGAAACTCAGGAGACCTGGATTATATTCCTGGCTCTGCCACTGGCCTTGGGTAAGTCATTTCACCCTCCCATGTCCCAGGTTCCCCATCTGTATAATGGGGATAATGGTACTTACCTCCTTTGTAAAGCACTATGTAAGAACTAGGTATTATTATTAAACCATCACTCATCTTATCCCAAGGAACACGAGATATAGCCAATGGAGGGGGGAGGACAGGTAATACTGTTGTGACAATCTTGGGGATTGGTATGCTGCTCTAAAGGGGAACAAAAGTGACACCGAGCATGGAGAGGCAACAGTAGTCAGTCTGAAGAACCAGGTAGAGTGAAGAACCACCATCGGGGAGCACAGTTTGGACATTGGTGCTGCAATGCATATAGGCTACTAAGTTCAGAGAAGTCCCAGGCCCTGGAGAAAAGTAAGTGGTAGAAGTAAAGTGTAAAATTGGGAATGGGGAAAGGACAGACATTTTGGAGGGATAAGATAAAAACTGAGGATCTGGTGGGATAGAACCAGCTAAAGAGAAAAACAAACAAAAAAGTGGAACCAGATAAAGATAAGATTGAGATAAAGATAAGATAAAGAAAGGACAAACTAAAAAAAGGGGGAGGGGAAGACAGGCAGAAAGAAACCACATACTTGAACAAAGGTTTGGGGAAGCTGAACTAACAGGGGGTGGCGAACAGGCAAGAGAGAGGAAGGAAAAGAGCAAGCTAAAAAGCATGTGGGTTGGGAAGGGGGAGAGATCAGGGCAGAGTGCTTCGAGAAAAACAGCAGCAGGAAGTTCATTTCTACCAGGGCCGGCTCCAGGGTTTTTGCCGCCCCAAGCGGGGGGGGAGCGGCGATCGGCGGCAGCTCTACCGTGCTGCTAAATTCTTCAGCGGCAATTCGGCGGCAGGTCCTTCCCTCAGAGAGGGACTGAGGGACCCGCCGCCGAATTGCCGCCAAAGAGCCGGACGTGCCGCCCCTCTCCGTTGGCTGCCCCAAGCACCTGCTTGCTGGGCTGGTGCCTGGAGCCGGCCCTGATTTCTGCATCACTTCCTGGGCTCTGGTTGGAGAGCTCTCAGAGAAAACGTAATATTGTCACCTATACTTCAATACTTGAGCAAAATGTAATGAACTATCATGTTATTAAATGAAGTTCAGAATCCTTAACTCTGTATTTTAGCTCAGGAATCCATCTAATCCCTTCAAAAATAATTTCAACCATTCTTCTATATATACCAATACTCACTAAGTACCTAATTTTTCAGCAACTTTTATATTCACGTATGCATGGACAATAACTCTCACCTGGTTGGGACAAAATCTTGCAGCCAGAAATAGGAGATCAATGTTGACAATATAATTGACAAAGATGTTGCAAATCCTTTTAAAATATTGTCTGCATATTTTATAACAGCAGCAATCACAAGGCCCCCCAGTGCCTGCAAAAAGTTTGAAACACATTCAAGATTAGCACATATTTTAGATATTTTTTAAAATGAGAGATATGGCAAACACAGGCCTATCTTCAGACTATTGTATTTAAAGTTATGAAATGTTAATCAGTGTGTTTGAGCACTGAAAACATGAAAATTTCAAAGACCATTATAATGAGATGGGCAAGAAGATATGAGCCAGTGGAATATTTATAGACCTTTGTATCAATACATGCTATATGTATTCGTATGTTCCTAACTCGGGGGGGGGGGGGGAAGGCTTCCTTTGGATTCTGAAATTACTAGGGGGCAATTACTGTAAAATTCCAAAGCTGACTATGTAGAGTCCCAGCCTCTTGAGGCTTGGGCTGCCTGAAGAGGAAGGGGCAATGACTGGTTTTACCTGTTTTTGGGAGGCTTGGAGACAAAGGCCTTTGGGGTATAAAGGCTGAGTGTAAACAGACTCAAAGATTTTCTTTTTGATTCGGCAAAAGGACATGTCCTTTTCTACAAGGGAGGACCCAACCATGTTGAAGGGTTGCAGTTGAAGACTGGAGTCTGTCAGGGTCTCCACAGGACTGATGGGGAGCTACGGCCAAGTGCTTGAGATCCTGTTTTCGTTTTATAAAATTTCTCTTAACGTTTTTATCCTAGATTGAATGTGCTCTGCTTTGAAAGAGCTGTGTGGTAACTTGTAACCACTAGTAAGAACACTAACCACTGATAAGGACACTGTCCTTGTCGAGAAAGCAGAGAGCAAGAGCTAGACACTGGTCAGACATGCTTGCAGAGAATCACAATGCAACTACAGGTAGCTGCAGCCTAAAATCCTGGTCAGAAGATAGTGGGGATGCAGCCCCTGATCAGAGGAGAGCTGAAGCCTAAAGGCCTGAGACCTGAGCGGGCATTCCTTCAGAAGACAGGAATTAAAGGTGCTGTTACCTGAAACTGTGATATGTAATTGATGATTTCAGTGGTAACATCTATTACAATATCTTTGTACACATTTCTTAAAAAGTTTTTAGCTATGTATAAAGGCACTGGGTATATTTTATGCTGTTGTAGATATGGTGGATGAAAGCAATTGACAACAAAACTCTTTCTGTAGAATAGAGATCACCGATTATATTATCAAGAGGATATTACTAGTGAGTGGGTGTACATTTTTGGCTCATAAAGTTGGTTATGAGGGTGAGCTGTATAATTGCTGGTAAGCTTTATTTTCTTTATTAATCTGTTTTTAATATTACAAAATCAATATTGTTATAGAATTTTATTGTGCAGAATGTTTGATAACTCAATGCTTGGATTGCTAATAATTTGCAATTTCTCTATTTAGAGGTCTATTTTGCCACTTTTGCAAGGGACATTTACTTGCAAAATTCCTATTAGCATTAATGGGAACTACCAGTGTAATTTCCCCAAGCATTTATGGGGGAATAGATTCCAAGTGTCTTTTATGTAAGCATATGGGTTTAGATACATTACCTGTAGAACTACAACTATCCAGGTAAGTTTGTTATATCCTTGAAAAAATCCATTCTTTGACAGAAGTTCTCCATCATATATGTACACACCCATCAATCCAAATATGCTACCAAAAAATCCTAAAAGATAAGAGACAGACTTGAAAGCTTGAAACGAAAAAAAAAAAAGGGGGGGGGGTCCCCATTCCTATAACTGGATCTGCATGACTACTGGGGTCAGCCCACGTAAATCAAGTTTCAAGATCAGGCTTTGGTTTGCAATATAATAACCATGTTTAAAACCAACCAGTGGATCTGACAGGAACTTTTTTTTTTTTTTTTAATAGTTTTTCCTCTTATAAGAGATTTTGATCATTTCAGTTATAAGATTGATGTATTCTTGGCTTACGTTGCTTTACAGATAAGCAGATAACTCTGGTGTATGGATATAATTTTTAAAAAAGATAAATCCTTTGAAAGTTTTTATTTTAAAAATTATTTGCAGTTTATAATGAACCTTTAAGAAGCTTAAAATCTGTTTCCTTATATTTTTTTAAAAGTTCTATTTCATAAACTCGTTTGTTGTTACAGAATTTCTCCTGAATGTTGTGTTTGTATTGGAGTTGGAAGTGCTAGAGCATTACTTCTACTACAGAAATAAATGATGGGGGAAAAAAATCTATTAGATCGTGATCCTATATTATACAAATTTTAGAAAAAGATTTAAAAAGGAAATTGTGACTAATATTCCTTTAATTTCTGAATAGAAAACTTAAAAACTTTCTAAACATTTAACATAATGAAACAGATATTACTCAAACTATTGCATCAGCTTAAGTTAAAATAACTGAAAATGTTAAATATTTTTCTGAAAAAGCTGACATGCCTTTCACTATTATAAACCTCAAATTTAAACTCACAGCTCAATGTACCATTACCCCAGACAGTCACTTTAAAACCCTGTTTTGAGAACGTAATTGTTCTTATATACCAAGTAATGGAACATTGGGGGATGGGGGGGGAAATCAGGGACAACATCAAACTGATAAACGTGTCTGTTTTTGTAGATTCCTTTCTGCACTGTAGAAGAAAATCTGAAGAACAATTTATCAAAGAATCATCACTTTTCAACATAGTTATGAATATTTACTTTGCAATCATTTCAAGTGTGTGTACTGCTGTTAGATCCTTACAGTGAGGATGACTCCAGAGTTTTAGTTAAATTTTAGACTTGGCCTGGTTCAAATAAACGTGGGTTCCCCTACAAAGTACTTGGATTATGATTGTGGTCCACATCTGAAAACCCAAGATTCAGTGCAAGTTTCTCACCCTCTACCCAAATTCTATGCCATGAAAAGGGTGGGTGAGATCAAATCTGTGGGACCTTAAGAGACAGTAAGCATAACTAATGTATTCAGACCTGACGTGTGTGTGTGTGTGTGTAGACAGTTAGAAGTATAATGAATCCTGTTTTCCTATTAAGCAGGAGGAAAGGAACCAGAAAATAGATTAAGAAGATTGTTCAAATATATACAACAATAAGTAACCATAAGTAAACAGGTGCATTAATTTTCCCTCTATCTTGAAAGAGAAAGAATATAAACAGTTCCCTAAATTAAAATACCTTTTCAAAGTGTATTCAAATCTTATAACACTCTTCTCTATATTCTAGTCAAATTATGAATAATTTTAGTTCACTTCATTGCAAAAAGGAGAGCTCAAAGGAAAAATAAAAGAGTTCAAATCCTGCTGGAGGCATTTACTTAAATGTAAATACCTAGACTACAGTTGCAATAGATGGAGATTACATGTCCATCCTCTGCCTACTAGAAGAAGAAGGGTGTCTCTTTCCATGACCAGTTAAGAGGCAGGAGAACAAGGGGAGGTATTGCTTTTTTCCACCTACGTGAGGAAACTGGTTTCAAAAGGAGTGGAAGCTAGTTCAGAATAGATTGTCCCTGTCATCTTCAAAAGCCAGTTTCCAGGGGATTCAGAACCACTTTTGAGATGGTTGGTGTGAGAGAGATAGAGCATGCAGTAGATGAGGATAGTGAAATGGTAGAATCATGATCCTAGCACCGAGAGCTAGGATCAAAGTTCATCCAGGTGAACAAATGTGGGTAATGAAGGAATTCACTGTGTCTTTAAAAATGTCAATCTATAATCCCTATAGTCAGAGATATGAGTTATGTTTATTTTTAAATTCTTACACAAATATAGCTTTAAACATTTATTTTGTTCTACTGTATGTCTAAATTCTATAAAAACCTCGTTAGATAGTGTCAATACTTTTAAAATCAATTCAGTGTTTATGAAACGTGTTGGATTCATATTAATGGACACATATTACTTAATTACTTTATAAGACAATCACACCATCTTTCAAATAAGTCACATAGGATACCCTTATTTCAAATGCTCCACAGTCCAAATTCAACTGGTAATATTCCAGCTGTTCTCTAGAACCCATTAGTCTCCATTTTAAAGCAAAGTAAACAGACTTACAAATGTTGAATTAGCAAGTTAAATACAAGAAGTGAGTTTAGAGCAGGATGCAACTCCTGGTGTTCCTGTTAGCAAAATACATATCAAACTTGCTAAATGTTTATGTAATATTTGATTATCCACAGCATGATAAAATATGATTATACTTAGGCCACGTCTACGCTACCCGCCGGATCGGCGGGTAGTAATCGATCTATCGGGGAATTGATTTATTGCGTCTCGTCTAGACGCGATAAATCGATCCCCAAATCAACGCCTGTACTCCACTTCGGCAGGAGGAGTAAGCGGAGTCAATGGGGGAGCCACGGCGGTCGACTTGCCGCCGTGAGGACGGCCAGGTAAGTCGAACTAAGATACTTCAACTTCAGCTACGCGAATAGCGTAGCTGAAGTTGTGTATCTTAGATCGATCCCCCCCCCCCCCAGTGTAGACCAGCCCTTATTTTACTGTATATGTGAATTTTGTTCACTGTTCATCTGAATGCAGTATTTCTTTTTTAAATGGCCAAAACTGGACTTACCAAGTTGAATGTTTCTGATCCAGACAGACTGTTTGGTTTCTTTTAAAATTTTCTCAAAATAAACCCCAGCAAATCCACTTGAAAAGCAGGCTATAAGGACTGCTATAAGACCAACAAATTGAGATCCTGCTGACAACTCTTTAGTAGTTGTTGCTTGAGAATCTGAGGGCCACTAAGTGTAAAAACAAAACAATGTATGTACATTTTAAAATATGATACAAATTATTTCATAAAATTAAGTTTTAATGTTTATAGAATGCACGTTTGTTTTCTATCAAGGGTCTATACTGCTGATAAATGCAGAGAGGTTTATTGCACAATTGTAAAGTCTTGTATTCTGTTATCACATATTTTTGAAAATTTCAGCCAAATCTACCGTAAAATTTTTTTCCTTTGTATCTTGTTGAATAAGGGATGAAATTCTGTGCTCCCTGAAATTAACAGAAAAACTCTCATTAGCTTCTACAGGTCCAGGATTTCACCCAAGATATCTTATGAATGGCAGGCTAGATATTATATATAGTGTTTGTGTGTATGATGTTTATTATTTTACAAAAATGATGCAAGGCTGTAGGCAAAGGCATATTAAAAAGTTTCTTAAGACCTGTAAGAGGTTAAAAAAATAAAAAGTAACTCTCAAACTTCAGAGCAGACAAAAAAAATTTAATCCATCTCAGCAAACTCTCCTATCCTATGATTCTACCCTGGAAATTTTGGAAACTTTGTATTTGACTCGATTAGTTCCAGGGGCACAATATAATTACCTACATTCTAATACTTGTGTTCCTTAATAAAAAGAATAAAAGGAATCCCAAATAACGTAGACACATACTATTAATATTTACCTGTACAAATGCAACTCCCGTCATCAAAATCACTAATGATAACCACTGGTATACACCTAATTTCTTACTTAGCATGGACACAGAAAATAATGCTGTAGTAAGAATTTTTAATTGATATGTGACCTGAAAAGACAAAATAAAATTATTACTATACAACCCGTTTTTTGTCTGTACAATTATGGAAAAATCTAAAAACACAATACCTGATAAGTGGCTGCATCTAGATTTGACAGTGCTACATACAGCAAGTTATTCTGGAGAGTATAAATCCCTGATGGAATAGCAAGTTTAAGTGTTTCCATAGGCTTGTTAAGGATTTCATCATGTAGCACTCTGTTCAGAGCCCGTAAATTGCACTCTACTCAAAGAAACAATAAAAGAGATAAAGATTAAAAAAAGAGACAGGGAAAATGGGAGGGCTACAAATTGTAAGGGTTTTTTTTAGGATTGCTACACACTTTTTATGACAACTTTTGTCTTCAGAAAACTCAAAATGCTGTATGATCTTTCTCAGGTTTTTACATTGATTCTATAAGGTATGCTATCATACAAAGTGTCCGCATTAGCCCAAAATACTAAAGCTGAAACAATTATCCAAAATAATGTTCACAAATCCTATGTTGATTACAATTTCTGTGACTAAGAATTTAATAAGGCTTCCTAAAAAAAAAAGAAAAAAGCAATTAAGTAGAAATCTTTCCACTTGAAACTTCAACATCGCTTCATTTTGCAGCTCAATCTTTTCTTTACATTTATACCAAGCTTATGAAAACCCCTATGTGTTTATGGATGTGTCACTTGAACCAAATGTGAAGATTTTTGTTTGAGAGTTGAAAACCAAGGACAAGATATTGAGATTCTGGAAAGAGGAAAATGATTGTGCTATATAAAACATACAATGTGAGAACTAAAGTGAGTTTGAAAATACAGCAAGTTATTTTTATCTTAAATATTGTGGTTCTTTCTATAATACTGAAACAGCTTCTCTCCTTTCGTGCTTGCATGACCTCACTGTGGCTCATGCACTTGTCAGTTATGCTTCAAGCACATTTTCAGCTTTGTACCTTCCCTTTCTTCTACTCCTACTCGTTCTTCTCTAGAGATACTTTCTGGGTGAACAGAAGGTGCAGGCCTGTTACCAGGACAACAGTTCTTACCCTACATCCATGACCCGTCAAGTGGAATCTTTTGGGTATATATTTATACAAAATTTACAAAAGATTATATTGTGTGCTTAAGTATGAGGTACAAAACAGAAGTCTTCCCTGCTTGTAGGTTAACTTTCTCATAGAAATGGTTTTAGATCTTCTTTTCACATATTTTGATGTGGGAAGGGCAATCTTTTGTTCTATCTTGGCATTCGCATAGCTCCTTATCATCACAGCATTCGAGCACCTGTTTTTGCAGTTGTCACCGAAATACAACAATTGGTAAAATATAGGAAAGCTACTTCTAGATTAAAATCTGAAACATACTGCTGTCTTTGTAGACCAATAAAATGCAGGCCATAATCTTCAAAAATTCAGCAACAACTACTGCAGTAGAGGATAAGTAACGAGGTCCTTCCTCTTTCAATGTCCGAGAATATCGCATAGTCAAAACTAAACTAGTGGTCTGAAAGACCAGGATCCCCAAGGAAAGGTATTTTAAATTGGTAGACATTGCTTGACTTTCAGTTTTCTGAAACAGAATAAAAAGGAAAAAAATTAAAAGTTAAAACCAAAAACAGACAGTTTCGCTGTGAATTAGCATTTTTAAAGGGTATCCAGGGAACATAGTCACTGAAGGGAATTAAGAGAGAGTTTGTCTATCCGATTCCCTAATCAGAAAACAATGGTGTAAAGAATGAATTCATTTCCAGGGGTCTGTATGTAGTAAAATAACGTATGGTGATACTATCAAAGTTTTAGGAAGAATAATTCTTATTACATAAGAAACACCTGCAGTAATAATGCTCTCGATTCTCACTCAATTTTTATTATTACTATGCAATACTTCATTCCAGTCAAGGGTGGAATAAACATGTTTAAATAGGATTTTGATACTTAAGAGATTATGGAAAGTAAATATTCCACATAATAAGGTTTAGTATAGTAACATGGCAGTCATGAATAAAACAGTTCTTTGCACATTCAAAGATCTATTGAAACAAATAAATCTAATTTGACAATGTTAATAAAAAGGGATATAAAAGCCTAAAAACCTTAAATACTTTTCATAATACATAATTATAGATAAGAAGAATATAGATCCGACAACAAACATTGCAGTGATGTCAGAAACAATATGCTGATTATTGTATTAAAATAAAATATTCCTTATATTTGCTCTGGGCAATGAAAAATGTCACAGACATCTTTACGATAACTATTAATGCAGGTTCTCCCAGTGTACATGTACATTTCTACATATTATCTTCTAATTTACCAATAAGAGACCAAATAGTAGTCGCTAAAATAGTCCCTCACATTTCTACTTTACAAACATTTGAAACGTTGAG